GTGGGGGGGCTTGTGGAGCTTCTCAGTATACTTAAAAGCCATTCTTTCCTCACTGGTTGTTAATAGGGAAAAACTGATTCCTCACTGATTCCACAAAGTTTAAATAGAAACTTAGTCCCCTGGCCATTGCAACTAAAAGAGTTAAAATACCACAATAGTTAGTTGCTTTTCAGTCTCAGATGAGAAAAGAATGTTATTCTTTAGCTATAAATAGTCTCATTTTGTCTTTTTTAAAGGGCTTGCCCGTTGCTTTAGACAAACATATTCTTGGTTTTGATACAGGAGGTAAGTGATTTTGTTTTAATTCATACTATTTTGAAAGACCTGGTGAATACTTGGGGGTAAATGAGCAAATGGTCTTAAGTACCAGAATTTATGTATTAATACTCTATTCCCTTATAAAACAGATGCAGTTCTTAATGAAGCTGCTCAGATTCTGCGATTATTGCATATAGAAGAGCTGAGAGAGCTACAGACAAAAATTAATGAAGCCATAGTAGCTGTTCAGGCAATTATTGCTGATCCAAAGACAGACCACAGACTGGGGAAAGTCGGAAGATGAATACTGGGATTTCGGCTTCTTACCTACTTAGTACAGTTTGGAACCATGTCCGCTTCCAGCATGTGTGTGGAAATCAAATGTCATATTTTTGAGGGAGAAATCCCCCTAAATTGACTAGGTTCAGAGATCTACCACCATTTCTTTTTCTTTAATAAAGTTTGGGAAAGTGGATTTTTTTTTCACTGTGTATTACCCATTTGTATAATTAACCTGCTTCCTCCTTTGTGGTTAAGATGCATTGCCAACCCCTAGTTTTGTCATAGAGGCACTGTAGATCCTTAAGTCATAGGAAAACTTAAAGTTTTATTTTATTGGAATAAACTAGAAAATATGAGAACTATTACATCTTTGGTATTTATAAATGTAGTGGGTACTTTTGTAGAGTTACTTACAGAATCAGAAGATACAAATTAAGTCATTCTAGCACCTTTTAATATAAATAGAAATACATTGATGCAGAGGTAAAAACTTTTGTTGGGAAATCAGTTCTGCATAACCTTCTCTAACTACATCAAGATTTATGATCTTTATACTAGATCACGTGTGCTTTTCATTTCTTGACCAGAATGAATCCATAGCAAGAATTAGATTTAAACTCTAATTGGTTCTTAATTGAATAAATTTCACCTTTTAAATATGCCTATAAAAAGTTGCTTTAATAAGCAACAGTTAAAAGTTCTCTTACCTATTTTTGACTTGCAGTAACAATCTATGTTCTTAAAAATACAGTAGTAAGAATTGAGGTAAAACTTTTCACAAAATATAGTCTTTTTGCACAAAAAATGTTCATCTTATATGTCCAGGATCTTCTAATCGCCAATTCCTCTTTCACTTTCTTTGCCTTTGCTTGCAGTAAATGTTCTTTAGGGTCAAGGTACTGATTATAAACTCCAAGTCCTTCACATTGCCAGATTTACTTTCTTCCTATAAGAATTGGGGCAGAGAGGGGGTCCATGAGTGAGTATTTTGTAACCAGTTTTCAACAACAGCTAGACAGGCTTGAGGTAGTAAAAACTGGCCTCCCCCATGTGTTGGCCCTTAACTTTTCCAGCTCACGGTGGCTCTCACTGGTGTCAGGAAGAGTGGTGGGGGTAAGCCAGGTCAAGGGTAATCAGGTACCATATATGTTCCTTTTCTACCCTTCTAACCCAAAGGAATATCCTGAAGCAAGTTCCCCTACCTGTTGGGCAGTAGGGATAGACCGCAGTAATTCCGTAGAGGTGAGATCGCTGCTCTGGAATATACTCGTCGATAAATTGACCACTTTCCTTATTTACTGATATAACGCCATCCCTGGTAACAGAAAGGAAGAGTCAGTTTGTGGGAGTCAGCCACTAGATAAAATGGTGTGAGATTAATAGATAGGGGGCCAGACAGTAGAACAGTGGTAAATGTGCTCTTTGAGGTTGACTCACAGGAGGAAATTCTAGGTTCAAGTTTAGAGACCTCCTTGAGTACACTGGGCACTTGCATGCCCACAATCGAAGGCTGGGGGTAGATATCCTATTAGGGATGCCATTTCTCTCATGGGGGGACGGGGAGGGGGGGTAGAATCCGTTTCAATAGAAAAAAATCAACCTTCAAAAATACACTTTAAGATTAACCAAATGAATTTTTATTCATATTTGCAAGATGACTATCAGTGGTTCTCAAGGTGGTCTCTAGGCTAGCGTAACCTGGCACTGATACAAATGCATATTCTTTGGCCGTCAAACCTACTGAGCCAGAGATTCTGGAATGGGACCTAGTGATATGTGTTAGCAAGTCCTCAGGGTGATGCTGATACTACTGAAGTTTGAGGCCCTTTGGTTTAAGTCGACTGTTCTCAACCCTAGCTGTGAAGTAGAACTGTAGGAGGGTCTATTAAAATACTGACTCCTGTGCCTGGAGCCAGACCACTAAATCAGAATTGTAAGGGATGGGGTGAGGGGCTTAGATTGGTTTTTCTGTCTGTTCTTTAATGTACTCTAGTTCCTTCTTTGAGAACTAGTCTAGATAGTATTTTTCAATGTTTCATGAAGACAGCTAGTCTGTCCATGTTGTCATTAAAAAAACAAAAAGCTATATCTAATACAGCTGATAGGTATCACTTCAGGGTAGTCTTTTATTCTCTGAAGAATAGATTTAGATTAATATGTACTTTTTTTTTTTAGAATATTTTATTTAACTTTATTTTAATTTGATCAGAGAGAGAGTGAGCAGGAGAGAGAGAGATGGAAAATGAGAGAGTAAGCCGCCAGGCCTGGGACTCAAACCAAGGTCAGCCATGTGGGAGTCCAGCACCCTTAACCACACCCCATGCTGGCCCCAGTGTACTTTTTAAATGGCTTATTACTAAATAGTTTTGTTACTTTTTAGCTACATGTGCGGAGCTGTCATTCATTTTCTGGGTGAAGTAAAAGCAAGATTTCTAAAGCAGTAACACTTGAATGGTATTATTGACTAATGAGATAATGGAACAAAAACCTTAGCAGAAGGCTTAACTACAAAAGTCATTTACTGACTTTTTTTTTTTTTTTTTGAGAGGTTTTTGCTATAGGGTGTGGTACGCTCGCCAGACAGAGACAAAGAGACAGAAAGCGAGAAATCAACCCCTGGGGGGATGGCCACGATGCAATCCCTTCTCCGCCATTCTCCTCTCGGGATCTTGGGCACGCACGTACATGCGCCCAGTGTGAGTTTTAAGCCACCGGGTCCAGGACTCAAACTGCAGTCCACTACATGGGAGTCCAGCGACATAGCCATTATGCTAACTGCTGGTCCCACTTACTGACTTTTGGAAAAAAAAAAAAAAAGCAGTGTGTCCTGCAGAACAGTTTGCCTTTTTAGGCTTGTCCAAAGTGTGTTGGGCTCACCTCCTCCAGTCCGTGTGGTAGAAGTGGTCTGCATAGCTAACAATGCTAAAGGGGTAGTTGAGGTTATTCTGAATGACACGCCGACCAGTTCCGTTAGGTAGTGTACACTCCAGTTTTTTGGTTCCTTGCAAAACATCAAATGGGGAAAATGAAATCCTTTCATGCTGTGTATGACAAAAAGCTGCTTTGCGAAAAATGATAGTGGCAGATGGATTCCTTCTCAAAGGAAACACAGGCTAGAACAGGAAATACGGTGTTTTACTCCCATTGCAGTCAGATGTATAAATTAGCAACCGTGAAATGGCCTGTTCTCCAGTTTAAGAGCATTCTAGTTCTTAATGAAAACTCAAACTTTTTAATTCTTCCCTTGAAAGAAAGGGTTACATTTACTGAAATCTGGCTAAGTTTCTACCAAAGTAGGGCACCAGAGATACCTATTTTTATAATAAATAATTTCAAGTCTTAGCTTATGAAATTAGTAATAGAACATTTTATTGTTAAAAGAATATTTTATTTTCTAAATAGAAAAAAAAAAGTGGTAACATGGCTCAGTTTTCAATGTAAACAAAGTGGTCTTGAAAATTTTGCAGCAGCTGAAAAAGTCAAGAATTTCCAAGTTTCACCTTTCTCATGGAGCCCTGATTTAAATTGCAAATACTTTTTAGAAATATAACAGTTGCTTTCTTTTTTTAATTAATTAATTTATTTAGAGAGATTTTTGCTATAGAGCATGTGCGCTCACTAGAGACAAAAAGCAAGAAATACAACACATACACACACCCCTGCGGGTGGGGGTGGCCATGCCACAATCCCTTCTTGTCCATTGTCTCGAGGTCATGGTTGCCAAGTGTGTGTTAAGTTGCCAGGTATGGTACTCAACTACAGTCAACCACATGGGAGTCCAGCCACGTAACCATTACTCCATTTGCTGGTCCTGTAACAGTTTTCAACAACTGGGCTATAAAAGCAACCCATCTGTATTAACGGATCTTTTTATTAGATTATAAAATCGAGAAGTCTTTCGTATCCTTTAGTACAAAGCCAGGCAGCATCTTCCCAATTGTGCTAGTGGTGAAAAGCACGCAAGTGGATGACCCTGGTGTTAGCCCCTGAAAGGAAGCCAACCTGCCACATCATTTTTCAAAGAATATCCTCAGCATAACATACTGTTAAAGTAATGGATGTTTCTAAGTAAGTAAAAATACTGGCCAATAATAACAACTTCCATTTATCTAAGTTTTTCAATTCAACAGTGGCTAATGCTTTTTTAAATCAAAAAAGTATGCTAAGTGTTCACATTGAGTACATACTTACTAATTCATCCTCTCCCACCCCCTAAATCAGAAAGCTCAGTATGAGGCATTACAAAATGTTGTTTAAACATTTACAGACAGACCAAAGAAATAAGATTATGTACTGTACTGTTATAAATTTATTTAAACCAAAAGTTCTAAGTGATGGCCTTTGGCTCTGTAGTAAAATCTCACGGTGCTCACACCCACGAAGTGAGGGACTGTGCATGCATTTGCCTTCTATCGATAGTGTTACCTGCGTCCGCCCAGCAGAGCAATTTGGAGAAGGAGTCAAAGGTTAAACCATTGGGTAATCCAATGTCTTTATTGACCAAAATTCTTCTGTTTTCTCCATCTAAAGAAGATGTTTCAATTTTAGGAGCTTCTCTGTTCCAGTCAGTCCAGTACAAGTTGCTGTAGATAAATTGAAAATCACAATTATAAAAGAATAGCATGCACTAGTGGTAGGCAATATCTAAGATGGGCCCCGCTAATGCTCATCTGGTATTTACAACTTCAAGCAGTCCCGTTGAGTTTGGTCTACATTTGGTGTCTTATAGGATATTACTTCCAGGGTTAGGTTTCAAAAAACTGTGGCCCCTGTCCTGGTGTCCTCTCTTGCTCCCTATGAGGGATGCTAGATGCCCTGTTGCAATCCAAGGAAATGACAGGTCTGCAGCCAGTAGGCAGCAAGGTCGTGGAGCCTGCCAACAGCCCACATGACAATGCTTTGAAGCCGATCTTCGCTCTCGGAACCTGGAGGTCATTGCAACTTGGCTAGCACCTTCAGAGCCTCATGAGAGACTGCCAGAGGCAGTCCATTAAGTCACACCCTGACTCCTGACTTGCAGAAACTAAAATGGTAAACATGGGCCATCGTAAGCACTGAAGTTTTGGGCGGTTTGTTACACAGCGATAGGTAATACACAACAATATTCCATGTTTTACTTCATCACAAGGTTACCTGATGATTCTAGCAATGAGGAAGACAACATTATCATCTGGGTCTCAATTCAAAGCCCCTTACTGATGAGGTACGTGCACAAGTGCCCAAGATCCAACTGTCTGGAAGAGAGACCTTGGCATGAACAGGCCCTGTGAGGATGCCAATCTCTCGCTTATTCACTCTCGTGTACACACACTGTATTATGCTCTGACACACCCCTGACTCGACTGCCCAGCAACCCTAATTTGATGACATCTCGAATTGGATCTTAGGCCTAGAATCCAGAGAAACACAGAAATGGTTTAGGGGAAAATCTCTATTGTCCTGCAGCTGACACCAGAGATGGATACACCAGCAAGGCACTTTGCCTTTCCGATGCCTTGTTAAATGTAAAATATTCATTTAACAGATGATCCCTAGAAAGTAACATGACCTTGTTCACTGGAAATAGGTTATGTGTAATGATACAGATTTATAGTTAGAGCAGAAGAGGAAGGCACTTTCTATAAAATGCCATTAATAAAAGCTGTACGAAGCTTTGAATGAATTTAACTTCAATGAGAGAAGAGGGGGAAGAGATGATACGTTTCTCTTATAAACTTCATCCCTTATGCTCAACACAGATGAAACAAGGAAAGTGAGAAGTAAAAACCAAGAAGTGGTTTCACTTGGTGCTGAGCTAGAAGGGGGGGGGTGGGGGCCATCGGGGACATGCACATACCTGCTTTATCACTTACAACCTCTCTCCTATCCCAGAATGATTTTAAATAACTGAAACTATTAAGTCCAGAACAAGATCACAGAGACACATACTTGGAGTAAATTACTGGTATATTGCTTAAGGAAGAAAGCTGAAAGGGTAAAATCTACAGAGAAGTTAAAAATACCTAGGAAAACTTTACATGACTATCCTACTAAGCAGGTGAGAGAAATTTAGTTACATGTGTTATATTCAAGGTACTTGTTTTTTATTAAAAAATTATTTTTGTGGTTCTTTGATACCTATTACTTATTGCCTTGATAAACACTTTTACTTTCATTTTTAAACTTGGGACTACGGTCTGGATTTCAGCTTATAGGAGTGTCTTTTCCTCCAACCTGTGGAGCACATGGCCCCAGATTACCACTGCTCTCGGGCTGGTAGCCACCCCAGGTTCAGATCATGCACCAAGAAGGAGTAATGGACCTCCCAAGTGTCAGAAAGCCAAGCTTGTCAAAAGAGAGGCTTCAAGAGGGTTACTAATTCTTACAGCTAAGTCAGCTATATAGACAAAGATTAACCTTCCCCAATGTGTAGAATCCAGAGTTCAGAACTGCCTTTGAGGTTTCACACTGAGTATTTCAGAGTCAAAAACATTTTGCTGAAAATAAAAGCTGATGGTTTTCTTTACTGATTTGAAGGCCTTTTCTAGAATTTTGTTTGGTAGAAGGTCCACTTAAATATGGTCAGTTGGTCAATCAGCCTCTATCTCTCTGAAGTAAAATTTAAACAAAATCTTTGCTAATTCTAAGTGTTGAAACATTGACCAAGTCCTATATGACCCAGTTGATGACCTTAACAATGATCACAGATGGGAAATTCTTATCTTGACTTTGCTAAAATGTCCAGTGTCTGAGCTTTGGTTACTCCCACCATGTACTAGAAGCAAGCTCTACCGTGGCTTTAATACCGTGGTATCTAAATGTGCGGCTGAAGGAGCCCACATCACTTCCAGGGTTCTCTCAGGTCTCGCCTGATCCTCTGATCAAAAGCAGCCCCCGCCCCCCCCAGTCCCTCTGAACTCTTTCGGATGTCTACACACCACATCACAGTCTGATGTCTTTCTTTTAGGTTCCTTCTCATGCTCCTCCTAATAAAATGGAAGTTCCATGGAGGAACAGACCTTGTCTTTGTCTAGAATCGTGCCTGACACCTAGTTCTGAATAAACAAAGTGGTGCATCTTTGCTTTTATTTTCTTGTTCTCCCACACTGTATGTAAAATCCAAGGGCTTTGAATCAGGGTCATGGGTAACAGGAGAGAATTAGGAAAGCCCAGCTGACCCTTGGATTGGATCCACAGCGATGGCGCGGGGATTCACCAGCTCCGTGTGGAAGAGGACCTTGCGCTCAGAGCCATCCAGCTTAGCTCTCTCGATCTTATCCAGGCCGCTGTCCGTCCAGTACATTGTTCTGCGGAAGTGGTCAATGGCAAGTCCTTCGGGGCTTATCAGACCTGGGAATAAAGCAAAAGCAGGACTGGAGCTTTGCAGAGTATGGAAGGCGAACCTACAGCACAGAAATCTGCTATGTTTGAACACCTTAAAAAAAAAAGACCAAAGAGTCTCTAAGTTTCCAGAATCAGTCTAATGGAAGAACAGATCCTCGTGTGAATTATTCTACCATATCTCTAGCTTTTGCTAGACTAACAGACCTGTCAGCTTGGCAGCCGGCACCCACAGTGCTGGGACCACTCTGAATTCTTCTGAGAGCCCTCATTGGAGAGGCGTTCACAGTTTAGTATCACTTTTTCATTCCTAATGTGTAAGCATGTCTGTTTACAGTGGGACCAGCCTTGTACAGTTCAATAAAGTGACTTGCATAGAACTTAACCCCTACCCTGCCACAGTGGATAAAGAGAGAGGGGAGACTTGACATAAAGTAGGGAGGTGACTTAGAACCAGATGAAACGCAGAGTCTGCTGGTTGGAGCTGCTGACCTGAGTTCACGATCGTCTCGGGCTCTGCTCCGGGTTCCAGACTGACACGGCTGATCGTCCGCCCAGCAACATCTGTCCAGTACACCATTCTCTCCCGGCAGTCGTAATCGATTCCCACAACAATGGAGCCCTTCGCGAACCGAATCATAAAATAGGGAGAATTAGGATTCCTTGACTTTCCCCCCGAGTTCACACTCAGCTGCCTCGCTCAAGGCTACAGAGCAGCCCTGCCCAGTGGGGTAGAGCAGTTAGATGGGGCCATGGAGGCCTCCTCCTTGGGGGCAAAGTCAGCCAAGGTCACTTACTTAGGACACCCAGTCTCTCTACATCTTGGTTTCCTCATCTGCAAAAGGAAGCTAAGAGCAGTGCCAGGGTACTTAACATGGCTACTATCAAAATGAACAGCATAAACAGCTCTCAAATGTCCTAACCGATACTCAGTACACAGTATGCCCTCAGTAAGTGCTATGGCTGCTGGTGGGAAAAACAAAGTGATTTCATAATAAAAAAAAAAAAAAAAAAAAAAAATTAGTCTTTACAGTGATTAGAGAACATATTTTTGGCAAAATAAGTCTTCGGTTTTTCCTGAGCAAAAACGGAATCCTTTCAAATGTTACCAGCTCTTTTTTTTTTTTTTTTTTTGAGAGGTTTTCACTATAGGGCGCGTGCGCTCGCCAGACTGACAGAGAGAGACAGAGAGATGGAAAGTGAGAAATCTCCCCCCAGGGGGGATGGTCACGCCGCAATCCCTTCTCCTCCATTCTCCTCTCGAGATCTTGGGCACGCACGCACACGCGTCCGGTGTGAGGTTTAAGTCACCGGATCTGGGACTCGAACCACGGTTGACTACGTGGGAGTCCAGCGACATGGCCATTATGCTAACTGCTGGTCCCACCAACACTTTTTGAAAGAAGCTAAGATTTGGCAATACATGCCCACAAAATCTACCTTCCTCTCCCTTAAGACTGTACCTCCTCCCCTACCTGAGGTACTGTCATCCTTACTCCCACCCCAATTCTCAGTGCACTGCAAGTGTTTGGTTGAACTCCATATAAAAGTGAGTCTGTAATCTGATGGGTTAAGGAACCGGAGAGGGATGGTCAACCCAACTTCTGGCTAGCAAGGTCTTCCTTATTGCTAAATAAATGGCAAGTCTTTTTTAAAGTGCTGAGTCTGTGATATTCCTGTCCACAACTCGGTGCAGTGCTTGCCTCATTCAGTTCCCAGCCTATAATGGACTCCTGCTCTAAGCAGACCAGCAGATGTGCTAAGTCAGCATGCCGGGGCCATCTGGCTGCCCCAGAGATAACACCAGTTCCCGCCTTGCCTAACAAAGTCTCCTGGGGCTTGGCCTGACTTATACCTCTGGGAGAGTGGTCAGCACAAGGAAGATAGTATGAAGCAGGATTTGGCTCCTGCAGAACAGCCAGCAGTTTGAATGGGGGGATCTAAGGTCAACTAGTATTTTACTTGAAAATTAAAATGAAAAAATCATGTCCTAGACAGACATATCCACGTGTGCTTCCATTAACCCAGGGAATCGTGGGTTTATGAATGACTTCAGAGTTGCTTGAAGAAGAAGTTGCAGTTTATGTCGGTTTCCCTAAGAGTGCTTATAACCCATGTCCCAGTTCCCTTTCAGTGCCACCACCACTATGACCGCCACCCTGCCCCCGGCAGGAGCATGTTCCCAAATGCAACCCACCATCTGACTTGGCTAGAATGAAAGAAGGTTAGCTAGAGGTGCTGGCAACTTCTCAGTTTCTGCCTGCTCTAGAGAAATAAGAAACATGCTGCAGTTTACTTGGAGAGGGGTGGGGGACCCCAATTTTAAATAAGTAGGAAAAAACTCATCTTTTTCTGAACACTGGCCCCTGTGCTTTTTCAGAAACAAGGAGTTACTTCACTAACAGAAGTAAACGTGAGCTGAATATGGTACTATCCTTTCTCACGGAGGAGCAAAAGCCTGGAGTGTGAAATCTAGAAATGGAATCGGAACATTTTCCATTTAAGTATCAGTGCCTTTCTGGGGGTCCCTCTTCTCCCCATTTAACAGAAGAAATCTCTCTCCAAAGTGGGGTTCCTTGGCAACAGGGAAGCCACTGGCTCCAGACGCAGCAGTATCCCCCTGGGAAAGCTGCATTCTACTCCCCTCCCAGCATCACTTGCTCCCAAAAAACCCATCTGTGAGTTGGAGGAGTTAGGGAAGAGTGGGGGAAAGTCACAGAATCAAGATGGGAGGACAAGGGGGGGCTGTCAACAGTGTAGAAATCAATGGATTTCCACTGGGGTTCTCAGATGGTCATCTCTGTGGAAATGTGACACGGAGAACCCTGGGGACTTGGGCTAAGGTTCTGTCAACTTTGCCTTGGACCACCATACAGCCTCCGTATCCTGACAACTCTGCAATTCCCTTTCCTCCTATCTGATAGCTCATAAACCAACTAGTCAGTTGTGCAGGCATGACTCCCACTTCTGTAGTGGTGGGGTCAGGCCCAGGAAGGTGACTGCAGCCCAGAAACCTCTTGGGCTTCCTGTTCCATAGCAGGACCTGCGACCATGTGCATCACACCAGGCCTCCTGAAAGCTGGCACAGCCCGCACCCCACCCGAGAAATCCACTTCCATTACATGCAATGACAGCAGGGTCTTGGCCGCGTCCTTCTGGAGCCTGGTGCCATTGAGGGGCAAGTGGCCGATCTGTTGGCCCTGGGCATAGAGTAGGAAGGTGCCCACAGATGGAGGGGTCACATCAGGTCGGGGCGTGGGCCGGACCGTGGGTGGTGCAACCGTGGGAATACCTGTGGGGGAACAAGGGTGGGTGGGGAGATGGAAAGAAAAGTTACTTTCCCGCATAGTAGATAGACCCTCCCAAATTATCTTCAGTTCACTCTAGGCAGGCATGCTCCAGATGTTCTTCAAAAGGAATCCTAAAGTTTAGGGTTTTTCCCCCAAGGATCTATCATGTAAATCACTGCCGATTCCTAGGGAAGATGACAGTAGAACATTTCCCCCAGAACAAAGCAGAACAATTTTTTGTTTTGTTGTTTTTGTTTTTTTAGGGAGAAAAGAGCCAGTTTTGTGTCAGCTTCTCTTTGGGACTCCAGAGTGATTTGTGTTCTCTTTCACCCTGGGCTGGGGGCAATTAATACATGTAACTGAGTTCCAGATGTTCTGGTTATAGAAACTGCTAATGATGAAACCAAACATTCAATCCAAACTGGGATCTCTGGTGGCCCAGATTCTAAGTCAACACAGCATACTAGTGATTTCTTTCAGTAGACCTGGGGTCCTCCTATTTCCCTTCACCCACAGTTCACGGCATCCCTACAGAGAATCCTCAGGTGCAGCCAAGGGGCATGGGGGTTGGCCCAGTGCTTACACGCAGGGGGCGTGCCTGGCTGGGAACGCGTGCCCTGCACCTCTCTGCCGTCTCTGTCCACACACCAGCAGAAGTCGCTCTTCCCATGGCACTGCAAGGGGATGAAGTGGCCCAGCTCATCACACTGGGGCACGTACTGGTCGTCCCGTGGCGTGCCACCGTAGTGCTCCAGCAGGCTTTCCTTCCAGCGCTCACAGACGGTGCGGGGCCTATGGGTGGACTCTGAACAGATGGGAGGAAAAGGAAAAGCCTTTGATCGTGAGCCAAGGACAGAATGCAGCCTGCAGCTGGAGGTCCCCACACCTGGCCTTCCAACTCCTACTGTCCAGCAATGAGACTCAGGCCAGCCCCTGGACAGTAGGCCTGGGGAGCAATTGTGTTCTAAGGCCTTTTCTGTGGACATCAGGAAAAGAGGTCATCCTGATGCTGCTGTGTCTCGGCCCAGGAGATCTGTCATCGGGTCCTTAGCCTGGCAAGGGGACGTTCTTGCTTAGGACAGAAAAGGCCCCTCAGGACCACTCCACCTGCACTCACAATACCTCTGCTGACAAAGCCCATGTGCAGGACATTCTGGGGGCTCGGGGGCCCATGTGCTGACTAAAGCCAATTTACATTCTTTCCCACTTGTTTCCTGCTCCAGGACCTTTTGCCGAGAAGGACATCTTGATACTATCCAATGTAAGTCTTAGAAAGTTCACATCTGTCAAAAAACCTTGTCAGTTCTACCTTCAAAATACACTCAGAATACCTTTACTTCAAACCCCTGTCACCCTAGTCAGAGTCCCATCATCTCACACTGGGATCACTGCAACAGCCTTCTCACTGGCTTTTCTGCTTCTGCCCTTCTCCGTCCCACCTCTCGCCAACTAGTGTAAGCTCCGCCATGAGCCAGTATGGTCCACTTAGAATACAAAGCATTTCATGTTACTTCTTTGCTCAAAACCCTCCAGTGACTTCAAAGAACGAAGTTGGAAATGTTATGGTTGGGCTCCAGCACCCATGGTTCCTCTAAGCAAGCATGAGGAACACGCTCTTCAGAGCTCAAATCTAACTAGGTCAACTGCAAGACTCGCCAGGTTTAAGAGAAGCTGATGCCCTTTAAGTTTGCCATGATAGCTCATGGCCCTTAGGAACCAAAGGTCTCAAGACCTCATGGAGAAGATCTGATTTCCTTACTCAATGTGGCCCAAGGAACCCAGAGAGGGTAATGTTACTTCCTCCAATACTCACCATCACCTCAACGTGGGAGTCCCTGGAGAAGTTCCCGACACTGCCTCCCCTCCTTACCTTCTGAACCTAGAAAAGCCATTCTCGTTCATGGGACCACCTAACAAGGCCCATTCTCTGTGTCTGGAATGCAGACCCACAGCACAGACCACTTCTGGAAAATCACTCATTCACAGGCGTCCCTCTCATTCCTTACTATTCAAAGCTGCGTCTCAAGCCAACCAACGATTTCTTTCTCTTTTGTTTCTGGCTGGCAGAGGTTTAAATATTTTGAAATCTTGGGTGCAAAACATTCTCACACCCCTCAAGCTGACTCTATTATGCAGTTGAGACCAGTCAAGAAAGGACAGCCAGGCCAAACCAGCACCAAGAGAGAAGTCTGGGCCAAGGGAAATTCTGCACCAAAAAAAGTGTCCCTATTGTAGTCATTAACTTGGTCTCCTGGCTTCTCTTTGATTCATTGTCTTTCACACATGCTTGTCTTAATAAATTTAAGAGAATTCTGAATCATTCCCATAAGGCTTCTCCTAGCCATCAGAAATCTTCAAATCCCAGCCGGAGTTGGAACGAAGACTTTGAGAGGAGGAATGAGCCAAATGGGATTTCTTTGTACTGTTTTTTTGTTTGTTTGTTTGTTTGTTTGTTTTCAGACCTATAGAGTCATTTTCTAAAAATAGGGACAGAGAGAGAATAGCCGTGTCACTGCGGATCAAGCCATTATCAATCCTTACCTAAATGGACCTTTGAGCTACTAAACCCCTGCCCATAATTAAGATTATTGAAAGAATCCAAACAGTTGGTATTCTCTAGCTCTTCTTACTCTCAACACATTAAAAGCCAAGGCTGGTAGTTATGGAACCCTTTTCAGTAATCAAAGTATATCTCTGAATAGCAAGCGCACAGATACAGGAATCATTCTGACCAAAACAGTACCAAACCAAACCAATCCTAGGTTCTTCGACATAACATTCCTCTGTAAAGTCCAATCCATCTCCAAGCAACTCAGCAAGGAGCAGAAAATGACTTTGGCTGCCTGCTGTTGGCATCAGCTGTGAGCAACTGGAACCATGCCTTATTTGGCGGGAGTGCTCTGAAGATAACAGACATGTTCGTCATCAGCATCGCAGATCATATGGGCTATCCCAAACCAGATTCCTGTGCCTCCTCTGAAGGCATCTGCAGCTAGAATGATTCCCTGTCCACATGTGGGGCTAAGCTAGGGAGGGTTGGGTTCTCGGGTTAGAGAAAACTAGCTGAGTTGGGAACCAGCAGTTAGCGTAATGGCTGTCGCTGGACTCTCATGTAGTAGACTGCGGTTTGTGTCCCGGACCCGGTGGCTGAAAACTCACGCCGGGTGCATGTGCATGCGTGCCCAAGATCCCGAGAGGAGAATGGAGGAGAAGGGATTGCGGCGTGACCATCCCCCCTGGGGGGTGATTTCTCGCTTTCTGTCTCTATGTCTCTCTCTCTCTGGTGAGTGCACGCGCCCTATAGCAAAAAAAAACTCTCAAAAAACCAAACAAACAAAAAACTAGCTGGGTCCACCAACAAGAGTCATACTTACTTCTCCTATCAATATTAGGACAACCTTCACACTGTCTCCTGCCATTGAGGTGGCAGAGTTAAAGGAGATAGTTACAAAGGAAGTCAGTTTTCCTTCTGTGAAGAACACTGGTCTGGCCAATCCGCTAGCCCTCTAAGGTCTCTCTAGGCTGCTGCAGTGTGTGCTCAGCCTGATCGACTTACTCAGTCTCAACTTTCAGTCTTACACTCGACAAAGATCCTAGAGCTGGCGTCCAATGTGTAACAGAGATCACCTTGATCACATGCATCCGTCTATATGCGCAGGTCACTGTAACATGAATGTGCATCCCTGTGTGTCCACATCACACAAACGTCCCTAGGAAGAAAGGAGCTAAGGAAAGGTGGCCACTCCCCCGTGTCTGCATGGTCTGAGAGGGGTCCTATTTCTTATCATCATGCCATTCTCCTTCTTGAGTCTCAGGCCTAGGCTGGTAGAGCATTTCTTTCCTGGCTGGCTGACCTGGTGGTGGTCCACAGTGAGGCGGGTTGGAGCCAGGTGGGGTCCGAGTACCAGGGACTTCATGACCATCAGGGTTCACACACCAGCAGAAGCCGGTGCTTCCGTGGCACTGCAGTGGCAGGAAGTTGCCCTGCTCGTCGCACTGGGGGATGTGGTGCCGGGCCCCAGGGTAGGTGTGCTGAGCCTGGGCGTAGCGCTGCTGGTGCTCACAAGTTTTCAGTTCAGCTGCAGAGTCTTCTGGGCCCCAGGCAGAGAGAGACACAGAGGAGAATGAAAGGCATTGCAACTCACCTACTCTGACCAGCCGATCTTAAAGTCACCTGGGCTGAATTGGGGCTTTATTTTTTTCATAATTGGATGACAGCATGACATGGGAAAAATGGCAAGACACTAGGACTTCAGAGTGCTGGGTTCTTATTGTAGCTCTGCCACTATCTACCTAGTTTCCCCCTACTTCTCAGTTCACCCCGTAAGTCTCTAGTCTTAAAGTCACCTGGGCTGAATTGGGGCTTTATTTTTTTCATAATTGGATGACAGCATGACATGGGAAAAATGGCAAGACACTAGGACTGCAGAGTGCTGGGTTCTTATTGTAGCTCTGCCACCATCTACCTAGTTTCCCCCCCACTTCTCAGTTCACCCCGTAAGTCTCTAGCTGACTGTAAGTTTCAAGCAGTCACTCCCTCAGCCCTCAGGTGCCGATGGTGTCTGGGTAAATGAAGAGCAGCCATGGCATCTGTCTGAACATCCCAAGAGAGTTAGAAGAAAACAAATCAAACCCCATTCAAACTCTGAAATCTAGAGTTTAAATCTGGAAGTTCCAGATGAACGACAGTCACTAGGTGACACTGTGCTGGCCAAGCGCTATCTAGAGCCTGCAGTGGTCATCGTGGGGGCCTACTCCTGGCTCACTAGTGCGACCAGCTCCTGTTCAGTAAGCTCCCCTCAATTCTCCAACTAAGCTGTGTGTACCAAGGCGAAGCAGATCACTAAGGCAGTAAACTGGAGCTGATACTACGTAGGATGATGGGTGGGTCATGCTGTAGGCCTCCAAGGATGTTATGACCAACGAACTCTCAGTAGATTGGGCAGCAGGAGGCAACCGGGGAAAAGTCTCAGAGCCTGAAAGATCGAAGTCCTCAAATCAGGCTGAATCTAGAGTGGGCTGAGGGCCAGAGAAAAATGCCACTGGAGGACCTAGGAGATTTCGTGCCGAATCCAGCTCTTGAAGCCTCACCAGAGGTGCAGTGAAATCCATCCCCATGATATCCAGGTGGGCAGCGGCAGGAGAAGGAACCAGGTGTATTGTAGCAGGTAGCCGCAGGGTGACATCTGTTTTCCGAGCATTCATCAACATCTGCAGAGGTCAGGGGGAGGGGTGGAAAGGAAGGAACAGCATGATTCACTGTATGTCATCTGTGCTGCTACATGGCTTAGTACCTGCGGGTCCATGACGAGCCATGAACGTCAGAAGACCTTTAGGCATGAGCCGAGAAAGGCTGACACCTAAAGGCAAGCCTAACAGAAAAGAACAAAACTGAAGAACATTTAAGTTAACATATTAGACCCAGACGGCTCAGTGTAGAAATTAAATGTGCAATCACTCACAGAAAAATAGAAATATCCTGTGGGGCATTTCTGAAGCATCTTTCATCTGCAGTGAATTCCAGGAAGTTACTACCTTTGAACCAACCTTTAGACTATAAATCGTTAATTTCCTTTCAGAAACATTACAATAAAGATGAATACATGCAACAATAGTTTTCCCTCCACGGTTGGCACCATCTCCCTGTAACATTCATTTATAGATTCAAAGGAGCCAGGTGGGGTTCCAGATGTGTTTTCAACTAAGAAGTCCATTCAGTCTTGCCTAATCAGAGTCCTATCGAGAATTCCCAGTTCACCAAGTATTTACGTTCTACTCTATTTGTTTATTTCTTCCATGAAAGAGACAGAGACAAGTAAATAGACAGAGACAGGCACACCCAGCAGGGTCTGCAAGCTGCCATCTAGTCTCAAGTCATGGGGCACGTGCACCTGGCATGCACACGGCGGTCCCAGGACATGAACCTAGGACCTTTCATATGTGGGCCCAGTTGTATTACTGCTACACCACTCTACTTTCTACTTTAAGGAGAAAAAAAAAAAAAAGAAGAAAAATGCTGAAGGTTTTGAAACAAATATAAATAAAACCCGTAAGGCACATCAGCCTAAACAATGCAGGCCCCTATGGCTCCACAAGATACTGTGAGGATTAAGAGACATAATCCTATTTTTCAAATGGACGAAATCCTGATACTTCCAACAAAAGCCCATTTATATCTTTACTGAAATCAGCGCATGCTGACGATAGAAAGGCACTCATCTCCCCAAAATGAAACTCAGAGTGCAACTATTAGAACGAATGCCCAGAGGGGCAGACGGTGGTACAGCTGTGATGCACCATGCTCTGTGGGGCAGTCTCACATGGGGAGGTCCCCAAAATCCAGAGGCCCCCTGGAGTGTGCCACGCACACGCTCATGCATGATCCGGGCTGGCTGAAGGCTGGGGGTGGATCACAGCATCAGGACTCTGTGAGGGTGCATTTCTCCCTCTCTGTCTCTTTCTCTTGCTCATGAAAGAAATAAACCTTTTGATAAATACAACCCACAAGGGATGAAATAAGCCATCTTACGAGACAGGAAGTCTTCCAGAGTAAAACAAAGGGTATAGGTCTAATCAAGGCTTGGCTGAAAATAACACAAAGCAGCAGTCATAGCCATGATAACGATCAGAATTTTTTTTTTAAAAAAAAGTGTAAATTAAACAAAGCAAACAAAACAAAAAACACAGGATGGGACTGTCTGGGTGAAAGCTAGAAAATGGGAGTGCACTGCATCAATTCGGGCTAACATGGCAGACATTTACCAGCCGGGGAAGCTGGAGAGTCCCAGCCCCAAACTTGATGTGAATGGACCTGTGTTGGGTGGCTCCCCTCCCAGCCCCCGCCATCCAGACAGAATCTCCAGGGTTATCCACACTACCCTTGCTCTGACCTCACTCTCCTGGAGCCACCTTTTCGAAACTAATATGCTTTCACAGATACCACGAAGCAGACACGCTGGACACTAAACACCCTCGGTTCACTCTGTCCTTACATTATAACTAGCAAATTAGCATATGTTCTGCCCCTGGGAAATTTAGTCATCGTACATTGGTTACTCTGAGTCCAAAAGAGTCCTGAATGAGGCTCAGCTGCAGAGGCCCAAGTTGTAGGGTGCCACTGTGCAAGGTTGGGGCCATATGGCAGGCCAGGTCCAATCCCCAGACCAACCTGAATAGGCCAGGTATGGTGGTATACAGCTGTAATCCTAGCTAGCAAGGAGGCTGGGGCAGGAGGATCATGGCAAAGCAAGACTATCCAAAAAGCAAATAAATAAAAATAACCTCTCTTCACACACACACTGCAAAGCCAGCCATGCCATGCAAGTGGTGGGGCACTAGTGTGTGACGCCTGCAGCCACATGGGAGGGCCAGGTTCAGGTTCCCTACTAAACAGGCTGGGCACAGTAGGGCATGCCTATAGTCCTAGCTAATCGGCAGGCTAGGGCAGATTGCAAGATGTCAAAAATACTTACATTTCTCTCATCTCCTATTAAAAAAACAAAAACAAAAACAAAACCTGAGTCTAATACCACCTAGAAAGGCTCTGCCCAGGTGAGCAGTTGGCATCCCTGGTGACCTCAGTTTCATGTAAGGTTAGAAGAGTAGTTATAAATTCATCCACAAGGGTAGAAACAAACCAGGTGTTCTGGTTAGCTCTTCGGGTACCTAAAAATTAACCAGTATTATTGTATTTAATTATCCTCAAGGCTGGCTGACTCTTCAAAAGGAAAACTCAAATGCCCAGTTGGGCAAAGCTGGTGACCATTCATTGCTTGGCCTGGAAGAAGCTATAAAATCAGCTGTCAAGCCAAAGCTGTAAAAACTAACATCCAGCCAAATGCAGGAAATGAAAGCTATTCACAATACATATGCTAAAAGAACTTCTGGTGTTAACAGGAACCCTAAGCAATGACAGGAAGCAGGAATTCCTGAGACACAGGGACTATTTCTGGAACCCATGGAGTGGTTGCTTATGGTCATTTTGTCTTTAATTGTCAGAGGGCACGTGCACTAGCCAGAGAGAAGGAACCCCCGGAATGGGGCATGGTCAGTCTGCAATCCCTCCTCCGTCATTTCTGCACCCAGTTGGGATTTGGGGCATGTACCCACATTCACCTGGCATGTTTTCCAAGCTGGAGTCAGGATTCAAACTGCAATCAGCTATGTAGAACCTCGTTCCCTAGGTTACAACTCGCCCCCTTACGCTTATTCTTGAACTAAGAGAAAGGGGCTTCCCTAGAGCTACCAAGTCACTGATGTTCTTAAAACCTATGGCCTAGGAATTCTGATCACTTCTCAAAGACCAGCCTCCCCATGGAGTCTGTTGCCATCACTGAAGACACTAACGTGCTGAGTAGACAGTAACTTTCATGAAAGACCAACAGTGGGAGAAAGTCCGTGAAGAAAGTGAAGACATCATCCGTGAGAATATGCACCCTGTCCCCCAAAAGCTATAAAAGATGAGGCTCGCTGACTCCTCCCTGCAGGGCCTCACCCCAGGCAAGATCACTATAGTCTTGTCAGACACTCCACGGCCAGAGTTCAGAGCCAGCGGCAGCCTCTCCTGAGGAGCGTGAGTCCTGAGGGGCTGGAGGGAGCCAGAGTTTTATATGAAGGAGACCTCTTCCCTACTGTACAGGGTATAGGGTGTCAAGAGAGAAATGTGGACAGACTTTCAGCCACTTGGCAGGGAAGGAATTTTCCTTATTGAACCACTGGGGGAAGGGACCACAAAATTCAGCTCAATGATCACTGGCAGGGGCCAAGTGGGGCTGATAGTAGAATGCGGTGGGGACGGCAGAGCCCTTGTGCATTCAGGTAATGAACCAGAGCTCAACTCCAGCACGATTCTACACTCTACCTCTATTAAACCGTAAAGAACCCATTTGAAATGTGTTGAAAATCCTGTTTTGAGTTCATATTTTGATGCTTCAGCATCATCTTGCCCTAATTCTGAGCCCACACCCAAAACCAGCTGCTGAAACCCCTCGACAACAAAGCCAACCACTGGACTCCAGCTTCCCGATCCTTCTCTCTCCCACTGCCTTTGAGGCCAGTGAAACTGCCTGGTACTAATTAATTTCAGCCCCACCCTGGACTCCATAAAGGCTCACAGGTTCTACTCTCTGCTCCCTATCTGTCTCTCGGGGACCTGCTGGTTATATCCCTGGGTGGCATGAGGTGGTAGTCCCCCTGGAATCTGTGACAATCATAAACTACTTCTAAGGAAGCCACATTCTTGTCTTGCCCAGCGACTACACCGAGTTTACCAAGCCTTATCTAGCATCTATGTTCTTAGAGCAGAAAGTCTGAGAATAACAGTATTATCTCCCCTCACCCTCTCCCGAGTGAGGACGGCGCAGGGTAATGAGCCATCTGCAGCCCAGCTTCCTCAGCTCACACTTACTATGCCCTGGGAAGGCCCCAGCTCTGGAGAATCTGCTTTGGCAGCCTGCAAAGTCACCGAGACCCATGAGATCTAACATGCCTGAGAAATACCCAGCTCACACTAACACAGGGTTGAAATCCCTCCAGCTTGAGGGAAACTGAAACAGATTTAACTCCACTTGAAGTAAATTCTCCTGCTAGTGACTCAGACCAGACTGAAAACTCAAATCCAACTGCCGACTCTCCAGGGAACCTGGTTTTTTTAACAAACTGTGGCTGGAAAAAAAAAAACAAAACCACACACCCTAGTATTTTTAGTTTGATGAAGTAAAAAAGTGTGTGCCTCAAGAATGTGCCTTTCCCACAAAAGATAGCCTCCATCCAATATCCTCCCATCATTGAGACACATGTACAATGCGGAGTACCGTAAAAAACACATGCACACAGAGCAATAGCTTCATGTGGCAAGTTACCTTCATGATTAGCTTAGCCTGACCTATGAATCTTTAGAAAAACAACTATTCATTCTCTACCATCCCACAATCTGAAAGCTTGGAAGGCAACCACAGAGTAACTGACTGTGACAGGCAGTCTCCAAGATGGCCCCCAATGATGTCAACCTAGTGGAATTTATAGTCTTGTGTAAGCCTTCCCATTGAATAACTTGCTTCTAACCAATACAGTGGAAAAACAGAGAGGATGTCATTTTTATGACTTCGATCTGCTAGCAGACTTCATTTCACTGGTTTCAATAAGGTAAGGTGCCATGTGTAAGAGGCCTACACGGCAAGAGACTGAGGGCAGGCAACAGCCAGCAAGAAACAGAGGCTCAGTCCAACAGAAACTGAATCCTGCCCCTAAACATGAAAGGATCTTCCCTCCAGTTAAGCCTTCAGATGAAACTCCAAACCTGCCAGACACCTTCACTGCAGCCTTCTGATAGATCCCAAAGCAGAGGAATCAGGTAAGTCACTTCCAGTCCCCTGAATGAGAGTATGAGTGTATTGTTTGACACTGCTACAGTGTGGGGTAATTTGTTAAGCAGCAATAGATCCCTAATATACTGGAGAGAAATTGATGGGGCTGGTATATTTTTAAATTTGTGGTTTCCAATGAGAATCCTAAAAATGGAATATCAGAAAGAAAAAAGGTACCATTGAAAATGACAAACCTCCAGGTTCTAATATGATCCCAGAAGGTAACCAAAGTGTTACAGGAAAAGTGGAAACCAAAAAAAGGGAGAGAAAATTATTTTAGAAGGGATTAGAGCGGGATTAGCAGTTAATGTAATGGCTATGTCACTGGACTCCCATGTAGTCGACCACGGTTCGCATCCCAGACCCGGTGGCTTAAAACTCACGCCAGGCGCATGTGCATGTGTGCCCAAGATCTCAAGAGGAGAATGGAGGAGAAGGGATTGTGGCGTGACCATCCCCCTTGGGGGGTGATTTCTCGCTTTCTGTCTCTCTGTCTCTCTCTGGCTGTCTGGCGAGCGCATGCGCCCTATTAGCAAAAACATCTTCCAAAAAAAAAAAAGAAAGGATTAGAGCAAGAAGCATCTAACCTAAATGAACATTCTGATTCTTAATATTCATCATATTTAGTCTGATATTAATTTCAATTTCTCCACATTAAACCAAAGAGCTAAGGAATTAAATACCTTTAAAGCACCATCTTGGCTGATCTGAATAGCCAGGTGTTTAAATATAATTCTGTAGACAAGATTTTTTTTTTCCTCTATGCATTCTCATTTCTTAGAGCTGGGAATGGGTTAAGCTAAACCAATTAAGTTGCACGAGGGCAAGAAAAGCATCATTCCCACTGTTGGGCCTGTGTACATCACCCTGTTTCCCATACTTGGAGAGGGTTTCTCCATCTGTAAAGAGTATCTCTATAGTAGACAGTGTTTTGCAGCTGCTCAAGTGGGCCAAGTGTCTGTGAATTACAAATCCACCTCATTCTAATTGGAGAAATAGCTGAGTGTTAGGGCGGTATTTATTAGAGAGGTTCACAATCATTACATGACTAGGCCAAATACCAAGGCACACAGGAATCCCCACTGAAGGTTACTATGCTTCAGTAACTCAACACCAAAAGTATCTATTACTACTTAAGATGGAAAAGCAGTGCTGGATTTAATTGAGCTACAGCTTTGGGTCATTTCAACATGAATTGTATTTTTAAGAAAACCATACAGCAGAGCTCTTATAGAGCAGAGGTGGAAACTAAAGAAAAAGTCTCAGACAACATCAAATAGCGGGCTATGTCCAAGGAGGAGTGGAACACTGTGCCACCATTACACAACTTCTGTCAGTGACATGTGGCCTCAACCTCCTGGCCCAGCCAGCACTGAAACCAAAGGGAAAAGGGAATGGGAGGATGAGGCTGGGAACCCAAACTATCCAGATCTGCTCAGAAGCTCCCAGGACAGGCTGTTCTTAGCAAGTTAGTTTAATGGATCCCAGTATATGGGGAGGTGGGGAGAGTTGCAAAGAGGAATGTGAAGGGGGTGAAAACCTGCGTTTTAAGTTATACTCCCCAAACAGGCCCCTTCCCATTCCTAACACTTTCTTACCATCCTCTCAACCCTGGTATCTCAGCTTACTGTATGCGTGCATGCTATTTCTCATCTTTAAGTAACAACCTCATACCCTCATACATTATTTCTAATAATAAGTTAAATTTGAATGATTAGGCCCTGAATTCTGATATAACAGTTTTATAAAAAATACTGCATGGAGACCAGCAGTTAGCGTAATGGCTATGTCGCTGGACTCCCATATAGTTGACCATGATTCAGTCCCAGATCTGGTGGCTTAAACTCACACCGGGCGCGTGTGCGTGCGTACCCAAGATCCCGAGAGGAGAATGGAGGAGAAGGGATTGCGGCGTGGCCATCCCTCCTGGGGGGTGATTTCTCAATTTCTCTCTCTGCCTTTCTGGCGAGCTCACGTGCCCTATAGCAAAAACCTCTAAAAAAAAATACTGCATGAAACCCAAAATGTAGATATATTTCTGAGGGAAAAGTTTTTGAGAAATTCGGTGTGCATTAATATCCTTTATCTGTGGAGTTCTTTTCCTCCCCAAAAAAAATTAGTCTAAAACTATAAACCTAAAAAGCTTCTTTAAAAAATATGGGACCAGCAATTGGCATAATGGCTATGTCACTGGACTCCCATGTAGTTGACTGCGGTTCATGTCCAAGACCCAGTGGCTTAAACTCAGGCCGGGCGCGTGTGCATACATGCCAAAGATCCCGAGAGGAGAACGAAAGAGAAGGGATTGCGGCATGGCCATCCCCCCTGGGGGGGGGGGGGGGATTTTTCTCTTTCTGTCTATCTCTGTCTCTCCAGCAAGCACACATACCTATAGCAAAAAAATCTCTCCAAAAAAAAATTTTTTTAAAGCGACAAATTACAGAGAAAAAGTTGTCGGTGTTTAGAGACTGTTAAAGTGTCACTTTACCGGAGAACAGCACATCTGGAAGTGCCAAATTAACTAAAGAGAGCAAAATGTAGAGACTTCCTAGCTAAAGGCCACACGAGATTTTCCCAAGTCTCTCCAGCCTAAACTAGCTCCAAGGGACTGAAAGTCATAAGCTGGCAGTGTCTCCCAGAGATCTCTCCTCCAAGGACAACCATATACGCTCAGGAAATCACCCTTAGCCCCACTGCTGACTCAAAGAACATCTTTTCTCTTTTTCTTCCAACATACAGGAAGGGAGGGGTCCTTTCTATTTTGGGAGGCCTCGTAGGTGGCCTTCGGAATGGCTGAGGCTGACTGCAGGTACTCACCAGTACACTGCTGCCCACTGCCGGCATAGCCAGGCAGGCAGGCGCAGGTGAAAGTGCTGCCTCCGTGGTAAATGCACCGGGCCTGCCCAGCAGGGGCACAGTTGTGACTGCCATCCTCGCAGGGGTTAGAAGGTGGAGCGATCACTGAAAAGAGAAGGAGGCAAAGATGGCCCAAAGTTCGGATTTGCAAATGGGCTGGGTTTGCTTCGCACAGCACTACCCATAGACCAGCAGTATCAGCAAACCTGGACTTGTAAGACGTACAGGCTTTTAGGCTCTCCTCCAGAGCCAGTAAGATTACTGGATCATTCATATGCATATTAAAGTTCAAAAGTTTTGGCCTGAATGTCCCTCCCAAAGCTCATGCTGAAACTTAATTAGTATTGTGGCAGTATTTAGAGGTGGCATCTTTAAGAAATGGTTAGATCAAAAGGGCTTCTCCACTCCCATGAATAAATTAATGCTGTTATCTCAGGAGGGGTTAGTTTTGGGAGGAGTGGGTTCCTGATTAAAAGACAAGTTTGTTCCCCAGCCTTTATGTCCCACACACTTTGCTTTCCACCACGGGATGATCCTTGCCAGATGTCAGCACCAAGCTCTTGAGCTTTCCAACCTTCAGAACTGTGAGCCAAACAAAACTTGTGTTTATCATAAATTACCCAGTCTGCGGTATTTGGTATAGCAGCAGAAAAGAGACTAAGACAGCTGGTATGGGTTTATGGTTAAAAATATTAGGCATAAAAATCAGTCATCCAAACTGTTCTTGATTAAAGTTTTTAAATCCTCTGGCAATTGCTATACTCCCACATATACAGAAAGGGTTTCTACTATCACTGTTACTTTTCATTCCATTAGATTAAAGAACGTATCTTCTCTAGCTTCATTTCACTCTATCGATGGGATGAATTTGTAGTTCTAGTCTTTTTGGAAGCAATTTTAAGTCTGAAATATTTTGGGGATTCCTAGAAAGGGTATATTTGTTACAGATGGCGCTTTTTGGCTGGTCAAGTGGGACAAGCATATGCGAATCACAAATTTATCTCCTTCTAATGAGAGCAATACTTGAATTCTATTTAAAACTAGGGTTGTTCACTAAAGAGGTTCATAGTCTTGTTATATTTTAGGCCAGGAATCCCAACTGAGGTGAACATCCTTCAACACCAAGAATATCTACTCAGGGGAAAACAAAGAAATGAAATAAATAGGGCTTAGCTGAGCTGTAACTTTGGGTTATTTCAATGTAAATTGTGTTTTCAAGAAAACTATGCAGCAGAACTTCTGTACAGAAGTGTGAACACACATGAGGCAAAGAGCAAGGTTCTGCACGTTTTGGCAGAAAAGAGGAATGACTGGTACTCACAGATGCAGGTGTGCTGGTCATCTGCAAACTCATAACCACTCCGGCACTCACACCTGTAGCTTCCTGGCAAGTTGATACACACAGAGTTGGGGCCACAGTGATGGAAGCCAGTTGCACATTCATTTATGTCTAGGAAGAAATGATAACAGAAAGTGTTGTTGACATCAAGGTCCCAGAAGAGGAAGGCCTGAAAACTCAATGTTCTCTCACCACTGTGACACTTCAGTGGAACCAATGGCTGACAGACACACTAAACAGGAGTTGAAGCATAGGAGTTCTTTCTTTTTTTCTTTTTTTGGAGAGACTTTTGCTATAGAGCACACATGCTCGCTGGAGAGACAGTGAGATAGAAAGCGAGAAACCCCTGCCTGGGGTGCATGGCCATGCCACAATCCCTTCTCCTCCATTCTCCTCTCAAGATTTTGGGCATGTACATGTACCCAGTATTAGTTTTAAGCCACCAGGTCTGGGACTCAAACTACAGTCAACTACATGGGAGTCCAACGACAAAACCATTACGCCATCTGCTGTTCTCAAAAAATAGGAGTTTTGGGACCAGCAGTTAGTGTAATGGCTATGTCGCTGGACTCCCATGTAGTCAACCACAGTTCGAGTCCCAGACCCGGTGGCTTAAACTCATGCTGGGCGTGTGTGCGTGCATGCCCAAGATCCCGAGAGGAGAATGGAGGAGAAGGGATTGCGGCGTGGCCATCCCCTCTGGGGGGTGATTTCTCGCTTTCTGTCTCTCTGTCTCTCTCTGTCTTTCTGGCGAGCACATGTGCCCTATAGTGAAAACGTCTCCAAAAAAAAAAGGAGTTTTAAGCATCAGGTACAAATGCATATGTGGATCATCAGAAAGAATAAAAATTCATTTCAAGTCATTCAAGTGTTAGCCATTGGAAGATTTTTTTTTTTTTTTATAGACCACAGATTAGTTTATTTTTAACACCCATCATGCCATGAATTCATAGAGAATAGGTTCCAGTAGCTCAGGCCCCTTTCCATTGGTTCTCACAAAGTGTGCTTCTCTGGGTGGAGCAGGCTGGTGCTTTAGTTGAACCCAGGTACCTTTCTCTTTGGCTTCCTTCTTTTTCTGGTCATTTTCCTTCACACATTTTAGGAAGCTATCTCTGCTCTTGGAATGCTTAATATGCACATTAATTCTCTTGGCAAGAATCTTGCCCTTAATTTGTTTGTTCACGACAATGCCAACGGCATGCTGAGTAACACTGTAGACTCTTCCAGTTTTGCCACGGTAACATTTGTGGGGCATTTATTTTTGAATAGTACCCATCCCCTTGATGTCTACAACATCACCTTTCTTATAGATTTGCATATATGTCGCCAAAGGAACAACTCCATGGCCTAGAGAAGATACATTGGGTGCCTCTCCTCTTTGCCTTTGTGTTTGTCATTTTGGTGAATTACTGGAAAATGACGGTTCCGGCCAAAAGGAGGGAGATAATTTTTGAAGCAATATTCTAAAAATTCACGGCCAGCAGGTGGTGTGGTGGTTAAGGCACTGGCCTCCTACATAGTCGACCTTGGCTTGAGTTCCAGATCCAATAACTTGATACTCACGCTGGGCGCATGTGTATACATGCCCAAAATCCTGAGAAGAATGTAGAAGGGATTATGCTATGGCCATCCCCCCGGGCGGTGATTTCTCACTTTCTGTCTCTGCCGCTCTGTCTTTACCATATGTACATACTCCCTATAGAAAAAAATTCTCTCTCTCAAAAACAAAAGTCTTCAAACATTTCTAAAATAATGGAGATTTAGAAGAAAAACACCAACAATTTTATCTTAAAATACAAAGGAATTTCTAGGTTGCTTTTTTAGAACATAATATGTGAAAGAAACACAATATCTGAAATTTTTAAAAAACAGTGGTTTGTTTTTGTTTTTGAGAGAGAAGGATGTTTGTTATAGGGCACATGAGCTCACCAAAGAGAAAGAGAGCGAGAGAGAGACAGAAAGTGAGAATTCACCTCCTGGGGGTGAGAGGAGATCGCCATGCCGTAATCCTTTCTCCTCCATTCTCCTCTCGGGATCCTGGGCACGTATGCACATGTGCCCGGTGTGAGTTTAAGCTGCTAGGTCCTGGACTTGAACTGTAGTCAACTCCAAGGGAGTTCAGCAACATAACTATTACACCATCTGCTGGTCCCCAAATCCAGTGCTTTTTAGTAAATCTAATAATTACCTAGTACAGACTCAAAATTATAAAACTTAACTCGAATTACCCAAGAATTGCAATAGAATTTTTCTTTTCACAACCTCAGTCTCAAATATTTGACTCCAAACTGTCTGTTTAAAGCTAACCAGACTACGCTTTAGTTTTCAGTTTTATAAAATGTATTTATTTACTTCTTCCATGAGAGAGAGAGATTAAGTGCACCTCTAACGAAGTCTCAGTGTCATGATCCGCACTTAGCCAGTCCCAGATAATGAGCGCACATGTGCCCAGCATACTCACGGAGGTTTCTGGACACGAACCCGGAAACTTCACATGGGTCAGCCTCTCAGAGTGTCATGTTTTACCCCTGTACCACTATCCAGCCCCAATACTAGTGTTTAAATAACTGTATTCGGATTAAAGGCTGCTAAAATCATTGACCAATGCAGATCATAAAGACAATAGACACTTGTCTTCTAAAGATGTGATGTTGGAGACGGAAAAGTAAAAACAAAGCACACATGGAAGAAACCAGAAAACATGTCCCTTACCCCCACAACTTTGTCCATCTCCCTGGTACCCAGGTGCACACTCGCAGGTGTAATCTACGCCTGCCCCCGGATGGCATCGTGCTGTTGTGTCACATGCGTGGCTCCCGTCATAGCAAGGATTCACTGGAGCAGAGTCCGGGTCTCCTGGGTAGGCAGAGGGGATATAAGAAACAAAGCATAAGCTGGCTGTTGTAAAAAAGAAGCGGGGCAGGAAGGAGCTAGAAGGGTCCTTGGAACTGACTGTGTTTTATGTCATACACGGAGACCTTACTAATTTTTTCTTCTTTCTTTCTTTCCTTCTTTTTTTTTTGTAAAGGTTTTTGCCATGGAGTGTGTGTGCTTACTGAAGAGAGAGAGAAACAGAAACAGTCAGAGGGAAAGTCAGAAATCACCATCCAGGGGCTGGGGCCAGCAGTTAGCGTAATGGCTATGTCGCTGGACTCCCATGTAGTTGACCGCGGTTCGTGTCCTGGACCCAGTGGCTTAAACTCACACCAGGCGTGTATGCGTGCGTGCCCAAGATCCCGAGAGGAGAATGGAGGAGAAGGGATTGCAGCGTGGCCATCCCCCCTGGGGGGTGATTTCTCGCTTTCTGTCTCTCTGTCTTTCTCTGTCTGTCTGGCGAGCGCATGCGCCCTGTAACAAAAACCTCTCCAAAAATAAAAAGAAATCACCATCCAGGGGGGATGGCCACACCACAATCCCTTTTACCCGTTCTCCTCCCAGGATCTCGGGCATGCACACACATACTCTCAGCGTGAAGTTCAAGCCACTGGGTCCAGGACTTAAACTGTAGTCAGCCATGTAAAAGTTCAGTTATGTAACTGTTACACTATCTGCTGGCCCCAACCTTACTAAATTAATATCCAAAGTTAGGATGGATTACCTGAATCTTGGTTTTAAATTCTAGAACACCTTCCCCTTGCCTATCCTATATACATAACCTTGTATCTTTTCTTGTTTTCAGCAGGGATATGTTCAGAGAATAAACACATCCAACATGGGGGCCAGTAGATGGCGTGGTGGTTAAGGTGCTAGAATCCCACATGACTGACTGCAGTTCAAGTCCCAGACCTGGTGGCTTGTTTTCTCTATGTCTCTCTCTCTGGTGAGCACACATGTACTAAAGCAAATTCAAGAAAAAAATGATCATAAATAAAATTAAATAAATAATTCTTAGAAAAAAAATATACCCAACATATCCTTTTTTTATTTAAAAGTGCTTTTGCTTGGGCACTTCCCATGGCCTAGTGGTTAAAGGAGCCAGATCCCACATGGCCAACCATGTGACTTGAATCCTGGTCCTGGTGGCTTGAAAAACACAGCAGGTGCATTATGTGTATGTTCCCTACATCCCAACAGGATGGAGAGATGGAAGAGAAGGGATTGTGGCATGACCATGTCCCATTGGGGGGTACTTTCTCCCTCTCCCTTTCTGACAAGTGCACATGCACCCTCTCTCTCTCTCTCTCTCTCTCTCTCACACACACACACACACACACACACACACACAGTTTCTGCTTTTTCACCTCCTATGAGTCTCAGGATAACTGTGTTATGATCTGTTGTCCAAGCGTTGTTTCACAGATAAGGAAAGTAAATGAGACCCTTGGGATAAATTGCCTGAGTTGAAAAAGTGAAGAGTCATTAAGAGAAAAAACTTAAATCCCAAATTTCTAGCTCTAAATTTACCCATCTCACACTGAAACTCAATATTTTTATGGGCAAAATCCAATAAAAGATACTGATTTTTAAATATTCCTAAGACCATAGGGGCCAGCAGTTAGCATAATGGCTATGCCGCTGGACTCCCACGTAGTTGACCGCAGTTCGCGTTTCAGACCCAGTGGCTTAAACTCACGCCAGGCATGTGTGCGCACGTGCCCAAGATCCCGAGAGGAGAATGGAGGAGAAGGGATTGCAGCATGGCCATCCCCTAGGGGGGTGATTTCTCGCTTTCTGTCTCTATGTCTCTCTGTCTGCCTGGCGAGCACACGCGCCCTATAGCAAAAACCTCTCCAAAAAAAAAGGAGATGGAACTAGGATCCGATAAAAATACAGGCACGTGACTCCCAGGCCCATGCTATCTGCCACTTTGCTACCACATCACCAAGTTATTTAGGCTAAGCCAACAGCACAGAGATGGCACTGTTGGACCGAGCCCCAAATGTCCAGCTTGGATGAATCCATTAACTTAGTTTATTTTTAACTTATCAAGTGTAAAATAGGAATAAAAATGTTTATATCTATCATTACCAGTGGAAAAAAAAAGAAAAAAATCCAATCACATATTTGAATTTTCCATCAGCAGGTCTACCCAGTTCCCAGTGACTATGGTCCTTCTTCTTAAGTAGGGCCACTATTCATCCTTATTAGAGGTTTTTGCTTTATTTAGAATTCTAAGATTCAAAATATTTTAAGAGCTCCAAGTAAGCCTGTCGGGCTATACACTGAGCCATCTCTGCTTCTAAGGGGGCTCCAGCTATGTTTCAGGAACTTAGAGCTCTGCCCTGTCTTTCTGTGCCCAACTCCCCATGGTTAGAGCCAGCTTAGTATACTCTAAGCCTACTCTGCTCTTCCCCAGGAGCCAGCATCATGGTGTCTGCGAGCAGACTTAGGCAGCACATTCCTCCTGGACTCCTATCATTTCACTCCATCTTGCCCATGGCTCCACGCCCCCTTACCACATATGGGTGGGGCTTGTCCAGAGTATCTCCTTATGTAGACACCAAGGGCTTGCTACAGGAGCCTGCCTCTGAGCCTGGCCCTCCTAGTCCTTCAGGCATTTGGCCATCTCCCCAGGGCTTGCCCCACTGCCATGTTCCAGCTCTTCCAGTTCTCTAGTCTCCTGTGAACTGGGATGCTTTGGCTGAGGCACTCGGGCTTTCTGGCAAACTCCTACATGTGCTTTATGAGAAACCACAGTGTGTTCCTGTGGCAGAATAGTCCCATATGATTGATTCCCAAATTAGTGCCTGAATATAAGGGTGGCTATGGGTTTATCCTTGGTTCACCTCAAAGGTGTTGGCTGGAGTAGCATAATCTTTGCCAAAACAAGGACCAGCAAAGGGCTCCAGCACTTTTTAAGCCTGATGAACTTCAGTACATCAGCATAAGCCTAGCTCTTCAAATCAGACATTCCTGGAAAGCCGGCCCTCTGGACGTCTAGCAGACGGGAAGGGAGCCCAGCATTAGGTTGTGGTCCTTAGTTAACTTCCGGGTGTAGATCGGATTCCTAAGTCAGTCCCTGGCCTGGTTACAAGTGAGAGCAACAGGGCCAAGCCCTCACTAGGGCCCCAACATGAGATAGGAAGCTGATTCTCCCTACTTCTATTTCTTACTTTAGGAGATGATTCTGTACACGATGCCTGGTATTTTCCTCCACTGGAGGGGAAAGTCATCTTCAAAATGTGTTAGTTTATAAATACCGATACTTTGCATTCTTAAACTTCTTAGCATCAAAATTTCACCATGGCACATTCCAGCCAAGATTAGTGAGTTCCCACAAATGTCAAAAGCTTGCCAACCTGCTAAGCATTAAAAGAAAAAAAAAGAAAAATGCAGCCGAGAGGAGACTTGCAAACTTGGATACATTACACTGTCCTACCTGAAACTGTGAGGAAAATGTCTATGATTACATGATACTGAGTAAACATGTATGGGGGGAGGGTTTCAAAATGTTTGCAGAAAAGTTGAATTAAAGTATCAGTTTATTTTGGTGCAAAAAATTCTTGAAATCCATGAATAACCTTTTCATAATACATATTTTCATGAATTTTTTGAAGTCCCCTTGCATCCTTCACTGATGACCCATAATATAATTTGCAAAATCCAGTGAAAAAAAGAAAACATAAAGCCTCTTTCTCAAAAATAAAGAATTTCAGGCCATTAAACCAAGTATGAAACCCTTCCAAGCACAGGACCCTGTTCACTGAATTTGGCTTCCAAAATGTTTTAAAAATATGTTTCTAAAACCATTTTGCTATTCATTCTCTATGGCTTGTTCACTTCTCTCCTATTATAGTAAGTAAAGAACAGTAGCATCCTTAAGGTATTTTATATTTCACCCTTACCATCCTAAATTGCTTAACTCTCTGAGAAAGGATCTGGAACTCATTAACTCATGTAATCAAGAGGGAAGAGTGGTTTTCCTTAAAGGAATAGCCTGTTCAGCTCCAGTGCACAGCCTCTGCCCAGAGTCTCCTCAACCCACCAGAAGGACTCCTGACATGGAAGGGCAGGAAGCTTTCTTGAATCTGTTTTATGACCTTACAAAAAGAGTCAACCACATTTGAAGCTGAACAACTGGGGAGGGGAAGACACTGGAGGTTGGGGAGTAGGCAAGGCTGCAGGTCTGATGAGTCCCTGGAAAAGACTCACTAGTTCTGCATTCTAGACCCTGGGAACCCAGCCGCTCCCACATCAGGTGCGGGCAACGGCGTTGTTTTCCTTGCATTCCAACCAGATGATTGGTCCCTCTGGAAAAATTGAACAACTCTTAAGATTCAGCTACTCATTGAGAGGAGAAAGACAAAAAAGTTGTATTTTTGGTGGTTTCTGTCATTGTTTTCCCCATTTTTCTCCTATCCAGGTAGAATGAACAATATTGCTGTAGGTGGATGAAGTAGGGATAAGATGCAAAGGGTTTAAAAACACACATTTGGCATGGTGGTTGAGGTGCTAGACTCTCAAATGGTCAACCACAGTTCAAATCCTGGACCTGGTGGCTTGCTTTCTCATTCTCCCTCTCTCTTTCTCTGTCTCTCTGTGGTGACTATACATGCCCTATGGCAAATAAAAAGCAATAATAATAATAAATAAATAATGGCCTCTACCTAGCAAAGGGATGAACTGAACATTTAAAGGTGGAGGGTGTTTCCCTAGTAGTTTTTCTTTGAACCTCTCCTTGAGAAATCAGCAATAACTATCTTTTCCTTCTTGATTTACATGTTTCTCTAAGATCAACTGACATTTTATGTATTATTTCACTACCTTATCATCCCATTTTTGAGCACCAATGCCCCAACCAAGTTTCTTACAACCAAACCTACCAACCAAACTCAGGATTCTCGTTACAAGTCACTTCTGCCTCCTAGAGAAGTCTAGTCCTCTTACCTTAATATCTTGTAAGACTTCCACACTGAACCTGCAGAACCTTGAGGAGCCTTCAGCTCCAGAGATAAAGCCTAGAATTGCTCATCAGTTATAGAATCGCCTCTCTGAGGTGCTGGCTCTGTACTCAACAATATCAATACAGAGATAGAATGAGGAAGATATTCTTTCTCCTCACATGCTCTTACATTATAAAGAACCTATTGGTTTTGAAAATTAAAATGTTTCCTTGACCCAAATCATTACCTATATGCAGGGTTCCCCGACTTCCCAGGATCATATATTTGGCTTGCCTACAACATATATTTTTAAATTAGTAGCTTAAGAACAGTTTTTGATATACATAAAAGTTGAGCAGGAAGCACAGAGTTCCTGTGTACCTCCTTCTCCCTTTTGTACCATTTCTCCTATTGTTAACATCATGGATTAATTAGTATAGAATATCTGTTATCATTGATACATTATAAATAAAGCCCAGTTTGCATTAGGATTTACTCTATCATATATTCTACATCTGACAACTTCTTTATTTCTTTTTTTATTAGAGATTTTTGCTATAGAGTGTGTGTGCTCACCAGAGACACAGAAAGCAAGAAGTCACCCCTGCCCAGAGGGATGGCCACCTCCATTCTCCTCTCGGGATCTTGGATATACATGCATATGCACCTGGCATGAGTCTTTTAACCCACTGGGTCCAGGACTCAAACCCCATTCAACTATGTGGGAGTCCAGCAAAGTAACAATTACACCATCTGCTGGTCCCTCAGTCTGACAAATTCTTAATGTCAAGTGTCTACTACTACAATACCATTCAGAAAAGTTTCACTGCCCTAAAAATTCTCTGTGCCCCACCTATTCATCTTTTTCTTCCCTCCCCTTGAGCCTCTGGAAACGATTGATTTTATTACTATCTCTATAGTTTTGCATCTTTAATTTACTTAATGAATATTTATATACCTTTTTTGAAAAATATTAAGAGCTTTGCTCATCTTTTAATTAGGTTGTCTTATTATTGAGTTTTAAATGTACTTCTCATATTCTAGAATTAGGTTTTTTTTTTATTATTAAATACATGCTTTGTAAATTTTCTCCCATACCCTGGGTTGAATTTTCATTTTGTTGATCTTTTAATGCACAAAATTTTAAAAATTGACACTATTTTTTCTTTTGGTGCTCATGCTTTTAGTGTCATATCTAAGAGACCATTGACAAATTGAAGGTCACAAAAATTTACTATTTTTTTCTAAACTGTTTAGCTCCTGTATTTAGCTCTAAGACCCATTTGAGTTGATTTTTGTATAGATGAGGATAGGGGTCCAACTTCTTCTGCATGTGGATATTCAGTTATCCCAGCACAACCTATTTAAAAAGATTACATTTTCCTCCAATTATTTTGGCAACCTTGTCAAAAACAAAACAGAAACAAAACCCACAAATGACTGTAAATGCGAGCATTTATTTTGATATTCTCACTTCTCTTCCATTGACATGTCTATCCTTATGCTAGGATACAACTGTCTTGATTACTCTAAGTTTCAAAACTGGACAGTATGAGTCCTCTATCTTTGTGTTTCTTTTTCAAGAATGTTTTGGCCATCATGGGTTCCTTGAGTTTCCATGTGAATTTTAGAATCAGCTTATCAATATTTGCAAAGAAGCTAAATGAGATTCTGATAGGTACTATGTTGTATCTATAGATTAACTTGGGAAGTATTTACATCTTACAGTATGAAGTCTTTCAACCCACGAACATGAAACACCTTTCCATTTGAGTCTTAATTTTCTTCACAAAAATATAGATTTCAAGGTACAAGTATTGTACTTATTTTTTTAAATTATTCCTAAGTATTTTATCCTTTTTGAAATGGAATTTTTCTCTACGTTTGTTCATTGTTACTGTAGAGAAATAGAATTTTTGTATATTGATCTTATATCTAGCAAACTTGTTGAACCTGTTTTAGTTCAAACTTTTAGTCAGCTCCTTAGATTTTTCTATATAAAAGACCATGTCATCCGAGATGAAAGGTAATTTTACTTCTTCTTTTCCCATTTAAATGCCTTTTATTTCATGTTTTTGCCTAGCTATCCTGGCTAGCACTTCCAGTACTGTGTTGAACAGAACTGGCAAGAGCAGACAGATTTCCCTGCCTTATTCTGGTCTTAAGGGAAAGGCATCTAGTCTTTCACCATTAAGTATAATGTTACTATGAGTTTTTCATACATGAAGCTCTATTTTATTTTTCCATTCACTGGATTTTTACCCCATCTTGATTTGATGAAATCCTTATTATTCTTTAAGTATTCAAGAAAACCTTCTTATTCTTCGAGCTTAGGTGTCACTTCCTTGGGAACATCTTTCCTGCATGTCCAGACTAGGCTCATAGCCTCCTGCATTTATCGCATTGTAACTAATACTTGCCAGGATTATTCTCCCTCCTGAGTTCCATCTTGTTCAAGGGTGTAGCCCCATACTGTTGGCACATACAGCTGGAGTTCTTAAAACCAGCCTCACAAATTACGCTCTATTTTCTGACCGCGGCAGGAACCCTATTCTAAACGTTTCATTTCTGTCTCTGTCTCCACCTCGAGGACAGGGACCTTGCTTTATTCATTCCTTATACTGAGCACCTAACAGAGCCTGCCACTCACTCACCCTTCATAACCTCTGTGAGTTCTGCTGTTACTCAGCAAAGATGTCATTTTTGTCCACAATAAAAGGAAATCTCACCTTCAACAGGGCCAATCTGACTGGTAATGGCAAACCTAAGCACTCCTTCTTCATCACTGTACAAGGCAAAGACACGGTCCACATTCAGCTGCTGGGTGGTGGGGACGGCCTGGTGTCCGGGGGCATGCCTGCACACCTGGTAAGTGACGTTCTGGTGAATCCGGTAGGACCGTGTTTCAGTGACTGAACCAAAGGTAAGAGAGTAGTCCCTGGAACTCGTGGAGGTCACAGCTGAAATAGAAACATTATATAAGCAAACTGGTAAATTAAAAAAATATATTAACTATAGAGATTTTCATGAGGGGTATGAATACACAGTTTTTCATCTCATTCCTAAAGGATGTTTCCTTGGGAACTCTAAGTTTATATGGGAAACTTACAAGGAAATACCAAGAACTCAAGTAGATACAAAGCCAGGGCTGAGAGGGAGAAACTACTACAATTGCTGCTGTAATTAAATGCAGAGAATAAACACTGCTGTGTATCAAATTTGCCCAGCACTGGTATACACACTGCCTCGCTTTCTCCTCATGACAGCCTAGTGAGGTGTAAGCAGAAGCCTGCAGGGATTAGGTGAGTAGCTTACAATGCAAGGCTGGTATGTGGTAGAGCTGGAACTAAAACTCAAGTGGGTCTGATTCTACACCCTGGTCTTTAAACAACCCGCCCCTACATTGCACAGAGGTGATGGTTTGTATCATTTTGTACTTCAGTAAGTAAGAAAGGTTCCAGGGGAATAAAAGGGTTGTTTCTTTCCATCTGAGTCTGGAAGTCAAGGCCAGACCTGTTATCTGACCATAGCTATTCTGTGCTCCATCCAGGTCTCCTGCCTGGCTTGCCAGCTCCTGCAGCATAGGAGAAGCAAGAGTCAGAAGAAAGGTACAACTCTAACCAAAGTGCTGTGCTACAGAACAGCAACTGAATACGTACAGGTGATATTATAAGACACTGTACTTTTCACATATTATCAACCATGTAAGGTAGACAGAAAAGGTGTTTTTATACCCCTACTAAAGAAAATAGGCCCTTAGATGTTAAGTGAACTTCCCCAGATTTTCAACGGCAATTCAGATATGAATTTTTATCTTCTGACTCCAAATCTAGCATTAGCTTTATAATACTGTGCAACATGTCTTTGTGATTTAAAAAGAAAAAGTCTGAAATCAGCTGAAATAAGGTTACGATACAAATATAAATTCCAATAATCAATATATTTCCATGTCCCAGGAGAGAATGTTTTAAAATTCTTTATAATTATACCATTTTGATCTAATCCCATAGCACAGTGGTTAAGTACTGTGCATAGAAAGCCAGATACCACATAACTGACCATGACGCAAATCCCACCAGGCTCATGTTCACGCATGCCCCAAATCCTGATGGTATGGAGGAAAAATGATTGCAGCATGACCATGTCCTTTGAGCGGTACACACTTTCTCTGGCAGGCACAAGCACCTTCTGGCAATAAAATTATTTAAATAGCATTCTTACACCCATAGGCAATACTGGTATTGATTAAATTGTCATTTGAAAGTATTGGGTAGGGATATTAATATTCTTGCATGTAGCAGCCAGCACTCTGCTCACTTACACTATGTATTTGATAACAAGACTAGAAATGACACTGAACTCACTTTATGCATGCCACACAATGTTCCAGGACATACTATGCAGTAATTCATTTAATTCTCATAGCTATCTTCTGAGAGGGGTATGACTCCCATTGTATAGATGACACTGGTTCCACATACCCGAGTCAGAGTAATGGTAAAGCTCCTTGTAGGAAGCAATGTGGGCCGTGGTGTTTGCTGGGATATAAGGGACCTGGCCTCGAATGTGGGTCTTCATGCTCAGATAGTTTTCTGAGTCAAGCCCCTCAGCAATTTGAGTGATATGAACCTTCTCCTCTCCTGGGTAGAAAGTAACTTCCATGTCATGGGTAAAGACAGCACCTGGAAAGAGACAGGGGGGAATAAAAATCAGTATAGGGATGAAGAGAGACCTTGCTCAAATAAACACGCGTCTTCCACACAATTTCTACTACCGTTGGAAATAGTGCCCCAGGAGATCATCTGACATCCAAGGCCAAGTGCTGGCAGCTGTTGATTCTGCAAGTTTTCCACATTTTTGATTAAAGAGTGTGGTTTCCTTGGCCTTATTCACACAGATTCTCTCTGTTGAAGCCTGCAGTCTGTGAGAAGTAAACTCCCGGAACATCCTTGACTTTTCTCTTTCTTTTTTTTTTTTTTTTGGAGAGGTTTTTGCTATACAGTGTGTGTGCTCACCAGAAAGACAGAGACAGAAAGTGAGAAATCACTCCCCTGGGGATGGCCACGCCACAATCCCTTCTCCTCCATTCTCCTCTCGGGATCTTGGGCACGCATGCACACATGCCCAGTATGAGTTAAAGCCACCAGGTCTGGGACTCGAACCATGGTTGACTACATGGGAGTCCAGCAACATAGCCATTACACCAACTGCAGGTCCCCTTCTATGTGTGCCAGACTTGGCAAAATGAATGATGAGAAAAAGAAGAGGAAAAAAAATACCACACACAAAACCAGGACACCTAGTTACACTGGAATTTCAGATGAACAATGAAAGTACTTTTTCATATAAGGATGTCTCATGCAATATTTGGGGCATATTTATATAGAATTTATTAGATGTCAAAGTGGAACTTTACACATTATATTTTATCTACTTTTGACTCATAGCTTCATTCAGATCTTGATGAAAGGCAAGACCCTACAAACAGCAATTGAGGTCTCAGTTGGAGAAGGAACTTTTCTCACAATGCTGTATTTTACGTACAACAAAGAGAAATCCACTAGGAAATGAGCGTTTCCAGGTGGGGCAGTGAGACACCTCAAAGCATCTGGTACACCTTCTCTGAGAAAGCAGTCTTCAAACCAGCAGCACTGGCACCTGCTGGGCGCTTGTGAGGAAGGCAGAATCTCAGCCGGGTCTGCCGATCAGGACCTGCATGTCCACATGTTCACAGGTGATCCATTTGCGGTTAGGTTCTGCGACCCACTGGCCTATGCAACCGTATGTCTGGGACCCAGATAGGAGAAGAAAGACACAGTTCCTCCACCATATCAAATCACCTCCAAGTGCGCTGTGAGTCCACCATATCAAATCACCTCCAAGTGCGCTGTGAGTATCACTTTTGCATTCCTTGTTCTACAGATCTGTGCACACTCAATTAAACAAAGCCTGACACATATGCTTCAATAAGTTGGGCTAAGAGGACACCTCTGCTCCAGAAGGAATGATCCTTTCTCAGAACACCTGGGAGCTCATCTGGACAGTATCACTGCCTTTTTTTGGGAGAGGTTTTTGCTATAGGGTGCGTGCGCTCACCAGAAAGACAGAGAGAGACAAAGAGACAGAAAGCAAGAAATCATCCCCCAGGGGGGACGGCCACACTGCAATCCCTTCTCCTCCATTCTCCTTTCGGGGATCTTGGACACACATGCACATGCACCTGGCCTGAGATTAAGCTGCTGGGTCTGGGACTCGAACTGCGGTTGACTACATGGGAGTCCAGTGACATAGCCATTACACTAACTGCTGGACCCTCACTGCCTTTTGAAAATAACTTGTGGAAGATCAGATTATCCCCCAGCTACCTCAGGACACCTGCGATGCTGGAACAAGCAAATCCTATTCACCATAGAAAGGGACCTCAAAAATTTACGAAAAATGGACTTAAATTACAAGTTTATTTTGCTGCCAAAAGTTGAAATTTATGCATAGTTTTTTCATAAAGGCATTTTATTGTATATGAACTTTTCAAAGATTCTCCCTCCTACAAAAGCCCAAGGTACCACCCCAAGAAGCAATACCACCAAAGCAACGCTGACTCTCAGCCCTCAGAAAGCATACTCACCAGTGAGGCTGAAGCCATTCTCTGAGCCTGGCTTTTCTAAAGCAAAGAGCCATCCAAACAGGCCTCCGATTGGTGTGAGGGGGAGAAGGGCGTAGGCTGCTGGCTGTGGAATGTGGCTGATGGCCGTGTAGGCTCTGCCGTCATTGCCCACAATGTAGGCATGCAGGTCCACGTCAGAGAAGTACACGGGCGTGTGGCCCACAGTGAGCTGGCCACTCACTTTCCCATTGACTCGATGAGGTGCCCCTAGAAAACAGCAAAAGCAGTCAGCCTTGGCCATGGTCTCGGCTGGGGATGGGAGCACACAGACCAAACAGCTCCCCAAAGTCACTCCTTAGCACGTCATTTTAACGACTCCCTGATAGGCAATTATTCATTTATGAACCAGTCCTGTCTGCAAACTATTTTCTCCCATCCTCCCTCTCTCCTCTCCACTTTGGCTCTAATGAGCTGGCAAAAAAAAGGAAACACTTTCAGGTAATCCTCCAATTAGGAAGTCAACCCACACAGGTTCATTGCTCAAACACCGAGCACCTGCAAGTTGCCAGTGCTTTGATTCAAGCAGCAGAGCTGTCAGGCCCATAGAGCAGAGCTCCTAGGTAGCTGGAAACAAGCAAGCAGCAGGCATCTACCCAGATCTCTGCCCCTGGACCCCTGGTCACCTTCAGGCAGACAGTGCTTCCCATTTCCATAAAACCTGGACTGGCAGTGGCAGCAAAAGCCGGTGGCATAGTCCGTGCAGAAGGCGTGCAGGGAGCACTGCCCATGGCTGTGTTCACAGGTCTCCTTGCTGGCACCGTTGTACGTGAAGACTGGAAAAGAAAACAAACGTGCATGAAAAGGACGGAGGGCTTCTAGCATCATTGCTGCCAAGCTTCATCGTGGACACGGCATCTGCAACACAAAATCAGTTGAGACTATAGTAAACAAACAGGTTTTTGATGTTTAAGAGGCAGGAATAACAGTCAAACCAGAGGAATTACCGTGCTTTGTCTGTTGGCCAGAAGCACGGCTGCCTGCTCCATCTGGGTCTCACTGTGGAGCTGGTGAACTGAGACGAGGCTGCACACTACGGTCTGAGCGCAGTAAAAGGAGGGCAAACCACGAAGTACAGGTTCAGCTGAACTTTATTTTTGTGGGTCAAACATGACCAAAAAGCAGCAGTATTATATGGTTCAACCTAGCAGTAATGACCTCTTTAGAGGAAACTGAAAAAATAGGAGCTAATGAATGTGGTCTTAGATCTAATCATTCCCTTCTTTTCAGTAACCTTGAACCTCCAAAAAGCTATAGTTCTTTTTCCTGAGAAATAAGGGTCTGAAAGAATAAACACACACCCCGACCTTAAAGGGTGTGGGGAGAAGGGGATGGAGGAAGAGGAAAGAACAGAGCCTCGAGCTGTTAAATGGCCTCTGGCCTTTGTAGGGTCAGCTGTGGTGGGCATGGCAGGGAGCTTCCTGGATATTCTATGAAGCAGTGGACCAAGGAAAGCCCAATGCCCCTGCTGCTATTTCTCCCATCTCCCGTTTCTGTTGCCCATTAAAAAAACAAATGAAGGGACCAGCAGTTAGCATAATGGCTATATCGCTGGACTCCCACGTAGTCAACCGCGGTTCAAGTCCTGGACTCAGTGGCTTAAACTCACGCCGGGCACGTGTGCGTGCGTGCCCAAGATCCCGAGAGGAGAACGGAGGAGAAGGGATTGCAGCGTGGCCATCCCCCATGGGGGGTGATTTCTCGCTTTCTGTCTCTCTGTCTCTCTCTGTCTGGCGAGTGCACGCGCCCTATAGCAAAAATCTCTCCAAAAAAAAAAAAAGAAAAGAAAAACACAAATGAAGAAGAGAGACCATTTATGCTACAAAAAATAGGGAAACGGGGTGTATGGCATTTTCATAAAGGAAATGGCTAAGGGAATGGGGAAGGGTGAAAAGTTGAGGATGGATGCCAGGGTGCTTTCTCCCAGGACACTGGGGAATATGCCAGTCCAAGCATGGCCACAAGGAGGCAAAGTGACTGTGCACACCTCGGCCCAACATCCCAGGAACACGCCAATACAGCAGGGGCGGCATTCAGTCCTAGTGGAGACGCTGACACTGGCAGGAAGTGACAGCTCCCAAGGGGAAACAAAAGACATCTCATGGTTAGGAAGACCGAGGTGGTAGTTGTGTTTGAGTTCTAGGTCTGAAAAGGAGGAAATGGGGGTGGGGGGAGAAGCCAAAAGAACAATGTTTATCTAACGTTCCAGAGGAAAATAGAAAACAAACAAATAGGGGAAGATACAGCACCATGGATGTAATGAGACAATCAGTATAAAGACTTGTATCGAGGGACCAGCAGTTGGCGTAACGGCTGTCTCACTGGACTCCCATGCAGTTGACTGCAGTCTGAGTCCCACACCTGGTGGCTTAAAACTCACGCCGGGCACGTGTGCGTGCGTGCCCAAGATCCCGAGAGGAGAATGGAGGAGAAGGGATTGCGGCATGGCCATCCCCCCCTGGGTGGTGATCTCTCACTTTCTGTCTCTCTGTCTCTCTGTCTTGGTGAGCACATGTGCCATAGTAGAGCAAAAACCTCTCCAAATTTTTTTTTGCAAATCTATGCATAATCTTTGCATCATACCACATTTCCCATGAACTTTCTGAAGACCCATCATATCACAGCATGTAAATAAAATGCACAGACAGGAAGACGTGTGAGTAGTACCTCAGCATTCACTCATGGACAGAGCTTGAGTTCTGCTGACAGATCCTTGACAGAGCCACAAGCAGAGGGGTTGACAGAATAAACAGCCTTGACTCAAGTGGAAAATCTGATACGAGCGTGTTAGAATGAAGTGAGTGACTTCACATTTCATATAGGGCTTTGATGACGTGGCTGAGAAATTCCAGTATGATAAAAATAGCAGATTAGGCTTAACTCAACTTCTTTAAAAAAAAAAACAGGAAAATAACATAAAACTCAAGGCAGAAATAGAAGCAAAATGGATCATGATAACAATATCATAGAGGCTGTCGTGGAAAAAGTGATATGTCAGTGTCAAAAACTGGCTTAAAAAAGGGAAAACCAAAACCAAAACCAAAACAAAACAAAACAAACAAACAAACAAAAAGCACATTGAGTAAAAAGAAATGAATGTACCTTGGGCATGTCAAAGCCCCAGGTTCCTCCAGCTCAGAAAGTCATAGGGGGGTGTAAAATAGCACCTCTTGAAGGGCTCGCTCTGTCACAAGTGTGCTCATGGCCCGATGGATCCATAAGGATCTCGTCCAGAACATGAGAAAGGGGCTGCTGAGGGTGCCCCGCTCCAAGACTCAACATCGGACAGTTGCCCACATCTAGGTCCAGGATGCCGCCCCTTCCTCACCTGCCTTGCAAGCACCCAACTGAAAGGCAATCCGATGCAGGTGTCATTTTCAGGAAATTCAGGTGAATGTAAAACCTTGCTCTACACATTGTTCTGCCCACAGATGAAGGAAACGGTGGCTTGTATTATATTCCCCCTTTTCACTTATTTTGTGAAGATCTGTCCTTTGGTCCAATTCCCATTTTAAGACTGGATTGCAAAACAGGAAATGGTGAAATGGAGGAGACTTACAGATATGGAAAGCTGAGTTAATTAAAACTCTGCTCTTTGGCGTGGTCATAGCTTTTATACAGGTAAAAAGGGTGAGTCTCAGCAATGCCCCCAGCAATTTACAAATGCAACTGTGCAAAGATTTCAAAGCTCTTTAGAAGCTAGACGGTAATTTTCTATTTTTGGGGGGGAGGGGGTGGAGAGATTTTTGCTATAGGGCACGTGTGCTCAACAGAGAGACAGAGAGAGACAGAGCGACAGAAAGTCACATCACCCACCCCCCCCAAGGGGGAATGGCCATGCCGCAATGCCTTCTCTTCCATTCTCCTCTTGGGATTTTGGGCATGCATGCACATGTGCCCGGTGTGAGTTTCAAACCACTGGGTTGGGATTCAAACCACAGTCAGCCATGTGGGAGTCGAGCAATGTAATCATCACGCCATTTGCTAGTCCCAGACAGACAATACGTTTCTACAATAACAATAATAATAATAAAGGCTAGGCTCCTATGGAAAGCTATGATGAAGCTCAAACTAAAATTATGATAGATTGCCCAGTTATTGGTAAACTAACCTGGACAGGTGCACTTGACTCTTCCTTTTTTTCTTTAAAGATTTCATTGATTTTTGCTGTAGGGCACATGTGCTCACCGGAAAGAGAAACAGAAACCAAGAAATCACCCCCCAGGGTGGATGGCCACACTGCTGTCCCTTCTCCTCTATTCTCTTCTCAGGATCTTAGGCATGCACCCAGCATGAGTTTTAAGCAGTCAGGTCCAGGACTCAAACTGCAGTTGACTACAGTGGGAGTCCAGTGATGTAACCATTAAGCCATCTGCTGGTCCCTAGCCTATCCTTTTTCATAGGTCGGGGGGGGGGGAGGGGTGGGGAGCAGCAAAGCAAGAAAGCAAGCTGCCAGATCTGGGACTTGGACCACAATCAGCCATGTGGGAGTCCAGTGCCTTAACTATCACACCACCTGCCAGCCCTGGTAGCTTCACTCTTAAATAGCGGGTCGGGAAAGACCCAGGGAGAAGATGAACTTTGGGCAGAGGCCTGAAGGAGGTCAAGGAGGGGAGAGGAGAAGATGAGTAGCCTGGGACATTCACGTAGGGGCTCATGGGTCATGGGAAGAATCTGGGCTTTAGTCTGAGGGCTCTAGGAGCTGCTGAAGGTTTTTAACAGAAGAGAGAAACAATGTGACTTAACAGTAAATCAGGAATGAGCACTGCCCTTATAGTAAGAAGCGCTAGTGAAGACGGTAGGAAGAGCGCAGATCTGGGAGTTTTGAAGGTAGAACCGATGGGATTTGCTGATGGATGGGATGTGGGATATGAGAGACAGAGAGCAAGGAGTCTCGGATGACCTGGAGCCTTGGCCCTGGTACTAGGAAGGTGGAGCTGCCATTTACCGAGAGGGAGAAGCAGCCTGTAGGAGATCAGACTTCTGGCCATGGTCACCAGGCATCAGGGACATCCTCCCTACTCCTCACAGCAACTTGAACACTTGAGAGGTTTTTTTGCCATAGGGCACGTGCGCTCGCCAGAAAGACAGGGAGTGACAGAGAGACAGAAAGCAAAAAATCACCCCCCAGAGGGTATATCCCGGCCACACCGCAATCCCTTCTCCTCCATTTTCCTCTCAAGATTTTGGGCACATACGCACACGTGCCCAGCGTGAGTTTAAGCCACCAGGTCCGGGACTGGGACTATGGTGGACTACATGGGAGTCCAGTGACACAGCCATTACGCTAACTGCTGGTCCCTGAACTCTTCACAGAGATAGCTGCATTTCTTCCCATGAATTCCAAAGACCACTGTAGCAGGAACACCAGAAATGCCTGTTAACAAGGCAATTTCTGAGTCTCCGTAGAACTACTAGTTCCCACTCTAGGGGATAAATCCTAGGAATCGGGCTTCAGTCACTCCCCAGGTGATTCTCACGGCAGCTGATGTGGATGCACTGTGTCTTCACCCACATCCTGTTTCTGACCTTCTGAATGCTCATTAATGTAGGTCATGAATGGGATCTGACCCATCAGCAGTTCCTGGGTTGGGCAGAATGCCAGGGAACACTGTTGCTGTGTTTCCTGGCCATCTGAGCGGTGTAGCTCTGAGCTCACAGTCCTCTTGCACCTCAGTTCACAAGAAAGCAATGAGGGGACCAGCAGATGGCATAATGATTATATTGCTGGACTCCTAAGTAGTCAACTTCAGTTCAAGTCCCAGACCAGGCAGGT